GGATTTCTCGAATGATCGCGGACGATCCCCTCACCTGGCCACCGATGTTTCTTCGTCGAAAAAGGGACGGTGGCTGTTTGCTACGACGGTGAGATACCGGCTATTCAGAAGCTGTTGCTCTTCGGACTCGAGAGCGAAAATCTAATAATACCCGGTCGGTTGTCGCCGATGTTACGAATAATCGGTGAACCAAACCTTTACCACGATGTATTGCTTAGGTAGCAGCTAAATGCATTTTGTGTATAATGCGAAATGTAAAAAGGTGAAAAATTTGTAGGATTTTGCAAGCGTAATATATATTTTCCGTGATGCAAATCTTCGCGAGGGATTAATTCGCTATTACTTTATTTCAAAAGATTGCATCGTTTAGAACCGAGCGAAATTAATGTGGTGGAACGGATGCGACTTGCGAAGCGATTTTGCGAAGCGCAAAAAAAGGAGAATCACATTCGTCAGAGTAAGCCGCGAAGGTCTCGTTAGAATTCCACGATCGGCCTCGGACGGGTCACTTTACATAACTCTCAAAAAAGTCGTGGAATCGACACCTCCTCCTGTCTCGCGGGCAAGAAAAGGCGTACCGATCCACGGAGGCAGATAACGAGGGGCCCGAGCGGGCCCCCGGGTCTGCGGACGAGCTTAAGCTTTCAGGTCAGGTGCGCCCGATGTCGCGCTCTCGCGCATTCGTCTGACACGATATATGTTTCCTCTTTCGGCGCACGTACGCGCCACGACGAATTTATATGTCACACCGGAATAGGCCGGCCGTGGGGGCAGGGTCTTCTTATGGAACTGGGACAAGTTTTCGGGGTCCATCGCGGGGTCCGTGCGCTTTGATTTAAGGAAACGCGTCATCTCGCCTCGCCTACGCCGCGCCGTCAACGACGTCGTAAAAGATTCACCTTTGTACCCTCCAACGAACTCTCACATCCAACGATTACGCGCTGAGGAATCGTCCAGAACTTTTTCGTATATGCGAAATAACATCGAGCGGAATTTTCTAGTTCTGCTTAGCATATTCCGTATGATTCATGCATCGTGCGTCTTGAATAAATATGCAGCTATTAAGATACACTATTTTTGGCAGTCGTTATACTTTCAGCGGGTATAATAAAATATTTTATTTCTGCATTTCTTACGTGTAAGCGTAGATATCCGGAAGATTTAAATAATTGTGATTGTTAAACGCGTGTTTTTATTCGTAAAAATTATCTATTATACGGGATGATTTAACTTCTTATGTGTATCGTAAATTACTTAGGAAATTTGTCTCTGAAACTACATTGTTTCGAGGGAACTAAAATACACGGCGTAAAAACTTTCGGCCGCGCGCACTGTTTTTCACATAATTTTACCAGTCATTTCAGCCTCTTAATGGAGTCTTATACAGTTCATATTTATTGCGCGAACCGAGACGAATTTAATGATCCGGGAGACATTAATTCGCCATTAGCGGGCCGACAGATTATTAATCACGAGTTCAGATCTGATCAGATAATTTCGCTCGTTAAGCGTTACGTATTCTTATACGTACCTCGTTGAAGAAGAACGCTGCTCTGTTGAGTTCTACTGCTAACTGTGAGGGACGAACAGTTCCACCTGTGCCACATGAACTGATGTTGACACTCGGATATGGCCATTTGCAATCCCTTGATCGCGGCTACAGTAACATCGGGATTTATGTTGCAAAGCTCGCGCTGCTCCTTCGTCAATCCCGGAATGCCGCTACAAATGACGGCGTTGCCACTCACCCAATCATCCACGGAATTGCTCATTAGGCAAGTCGCGCTGAAAAAGGTAGCAAAATGATAATCGCGCGCGTCGTCCGTTTCTTTGATCGCCATAAGTGGTTACCATTAAGATACTAGGCCATGTAATGACTAAATAAGATGATACGAGGCTCTTCTTTTTTCCCGAGAGATTATATGAGTTAGAAAATATATAGCGAGAGATAAGTACGACCTATCCTCGCTTGTATATCTTTGATAGAAAAAATGCATAATGAGCAATTTGAATCATTTAGCTGTTTATTTTAGGATCCTTAATTATATGGGAAAATTAATGCCGGTAAAGATGCAACGTAAGAAGCTACATACAGATCGGTTCAAAATCATTATAATATATATAAAAGAAAATTACAGATGTAAATGAAAGATGTAAATTGAAATACCGCGTTAAACGTTAAATGTGTGTAAAATCGTACAAGAGTAATAACAGAAGCACAGGTTTTACTTGTGTTCTCTTGCGGTTCCCAGTGATATTGCTTAGAATGATATTTTTAGCGGACACGCGTAATAATTTCGTCAATTCGATGTAAATCGCAAGTTAATCTTCTCACGGAAGCGATAGCATTCAATTTGGATGATTTTAACCTCGGAAAGTTTAATTCAAAGTACTTTTCATGCTCGCGATATACTGTAATCTTTTTTAAAGTTTACTCTCTAGATTTTCTTTCGTTCTGTTTATTTCTGCGTATTTCTCGGTCATTGAACTTCCGATCGTGGATCACTCGTGCATCAATCGCCGATTAAAGATACGCTATCTTTCTCCTCTGTGTTCCTTGCAACTCCGATAGTTTTTCCAATGATTATTATAGGTACAAATGCAGTATTCCGCGTGGAAATGCAATTAATTTTTTTGTCTTTCTCGGAATATTTTACGGAAAAGAAATTATCCGTCACAAATTATGATTCGATCTATCATTAGATATTTTCACTAAATTTTCGATCTTGATTTTAACAAGAGATTCCTCGATCAATGATTCGAATATTTGAAAATATATTGTTACATCTGTTTCTGTATTTCGTAAAATTTTGAAGGAACTACAATATCTCTGCGGAAACATTAATGAACGGAGAGGAAAATGTGCGATAAACTACACGTATTTACCGCCAGGTTAGAACTCTCATCATAGTCTTTTCATTGCTGTTATTTCTCTTCCCGAAGCGAACGTACATATTAGCTTAGCATGCGTCGAGTGTAATTAGTGACGACGTGCAGAAGCGCGGAAGCAGCCAGTCAAGCTCGCCACCTGGCTAAACTCGCGAAACTGATTATCGTTGAGTTTCTCCTAACGGTGCGCAAGGAATTGCACTATGGATAGCCTTCGGTCATCACTAAAATAATATTAGCATTTACAAGAAACAATAATGAAGAATAGTGCAACTTTTTACTAAAACAGAGTTTAATTAATTTGCAATTTTACTTTTCGCGATTGCGCTTATGGAATTACATATTTGAGCGTGACAAATAGTTTTGATGAAAATAACTAACTATTGATATTTGCGTTAAGTGGTGATTCCTAAATTTCACTCGAAATGCTGATAGAGACGCTTGCACGGAAGTATTGAATATTGAGAGCCGGGGCCGGCTGCACATCTTCGAATCTGTACGATGCAGCACTAATCGCGGCGGTCTGGTTTTACGACCGCGCGCGGCTGCACGGCGCGCACTTTCGCGCACGCGTGCATCGCGCACGAGCGTCCGCTTTTCTTCGGCTTTACGAGGCCGAGGTCAAGAGGTGCGAACGCTCTCAAAGAGCCGATAAAACCGTTTGTATCTCGCCGTCTGTTTCTACCATCGCGGATCCTGCACAGGAGGGGATAGCCCGCACGTCGCCTCCCCTCCTCTTTTCCACGTGTTCTATCCTCCGCCACTATGTCCTGCTCTCATCCCTCGCTCGGTCGTGATAACGGCATCCATCTCTCGGAAGAGGAGTTCTTAAAGCGCTATCTTAAGCGACGGCTGCTGCCTAATGGCCGCGTATTACGGCGTACCGGGTGTTAATTAATTTCGAGGTAGAAAAAAGGAATGACGGAAGAGCAAACGTGCGCGCTACGTGCGTGCGTGCGTGCACGCTTGTTCTACAAACAGCTTGGATCGCATGTATCGAGAGCAGGATAAAAGGGTTCAGTCGCTTTGTTTATTCGTCGCTGTGAGACTAGCGAAGCTATTGTTATTTTCCGTTGTGTTCACCGTTCTACCGAAACGTTAGGCAATAGTACCGTTAGAAATCTTTTACAGCTTTTTTTATTACCCATTGGGTGTTTTTACAGGTAGTAATGCCTTACAGGTAATAAGCCATAAACTGAACTTTTCTAATTTCGTTTAATCTTCAGCACTCCCGGGTGTGCACGCGAGTTGGCTTTTAACTCTCTCAAATAAAATGATGCATAATTAAAGTGTCGAAATTTTTTCATTTCGGAATGGGCTTTTAGAGACCTCAGCATACATCTGCACCTTTCACGGCAAGAATTATAGTACAGCTTGCTTCATTCGGACAGTGTTTTTTTTAGTATTGAAAAAATAGTACTTTGAAATTAATTATAAAAAATTATTTTTCTCTCCTTTATGTAGTAATTTCTAAAGAAATATTTAAAAGGGCAAAAGTTGAATATGGACAAGAACCAAAAGTGTCTTGTAATTTATATAATCGGAAGAGATAATATTAGCACAGAATAATTTTATGATAATTAATGCAAGTCGTTAAAGCATTGATCGTGAACATGTGGTCGAAGCTTCCTATCGGCGATCATGAAACCTGCAAGATTGGCCAGCAGCGTGAAAAGATCTCCGTAGCATTCTTCACGATCATTAATCTGCTCGCAGCGTCTTGGAACGGTTTATTTTTTTTATTTTTTTTTTTTTTACTTGGATGGGCTCTCGGCGTCGCAGGGTTCTGCAGGATGTCACGGGCGGGTGCAAGGCTCTCCGTGGGTCGCTCGGTTATCTGCGGGTACAAATTAGCGGACGAGCTTCTTCTAAAGTAAAAGCTGTGTATAGCACCCGCGTGAACGAAGAAAGACGAACAAGACGAAGAAGAAGCCAGCGACAGCGAGCGAGAAGGAGGAGGGGGAGAGCAGGGAGAATGGGTGGTAATAAGAAGAAAAGGGAAAAAGGTCCCGGCGATACTATGTAGTGTGGGAAAGGACGAAGGAAGGAGCAAGGAGGGCGCGCGGGGGTTTTAGGGTCGCGGAGGTTATTGAGAGCTCCCATTACCGGTACACCGTTGCACCGCTGCTATCTTTCGCGCTATTGATGATCTACCGAAAGCAGATTAATGATCTTAACTCCCTCAACAAATTACGGAAGACACCGCGTACCTGCGGTGGAAGTCGGATTGTATCAAGAGATTCCTTTCGTTACCTATCTCGTCTCGGCTTCTTCGCTTGTGCATGCGTCTCACTTCGCGAAGTCGGCAACGTAATTATTCCGCCGAATCTCTTTGCAGTGATTATTTCGTTGGAAAGTGCAAAAGTTTTATTTACTAATCGGCACAATTATCAACTGTCAAAGGGATAATTTTTCGATCGCATAAATACATTTTCTGTATTCGTGCATAATGTTAAAAGTGAGTAGTGATGCGATATTTTTATGTCTTTTTTGTGACAAACTTTTTCTCGCTCCATTTATAGATATGTAAAATCGATGTGTTGCGTTTGAACGCACAATCGCATGGTATAAGAGCGATTCAGTGCACAAGTGAATTGCGCTCTTACGGGGATGGCCGTTACAGTTCCGTTTCGCCTCGGACGCTCGATCTCATGGGAACCCAAATTGGGCAAATCGGAGACGAGATACGCGAGCGCGTGTCCCCCGCATTTTTGCAATAATCCAAGGGGTCGCAGAAGAATCCAAGATGGCAACGTCGCGGGGTGATGCGCTTGTTTTATTTAATCCCCTTCTTCCCGTCCTACTCGCGGAGATGAGAGAGGTACACGGCGTGGAATTTCGCGTCTAATGGGATATACCCAGTGGGAAGAGAGAACTCACCTTTTTTTACGATTCGACTCGCGAGAATACCTCCGGTAGATATCGCGGCGCTTCTTCCCCTCCCCCTCCCCCCGCCCCCTCTCGATCTTATGGGAGTAAATCGATTTCGCGGTGAGTACATTGTAGGGAATGCGATAGGCCGCGAATTACGTTCTGCAGATAGTATCTAGTGCGTAAGTTATAGCGACTGCAACCTCGCGATAAGACAGGACTCTTCTCTAATTCGTCAAGCGATCGTTTCTAGCGATCTTACTAGCGTTGTAAAACTTCATTTTATTAATAAATCTTCGAGCAGAGGAAGCGAGAGAGAGATTCCCGTTAGCCGCGAATAGTATAACCGTAAATTATGATTCGCCTAATTATTGCATATGATTATTTAAAACTCTACATTAAAAAAAAAAAAATTTTTTTATAAACTTCTTTAGAATGATTTCTCTAATTTTTAATTACATGTCTCATCCATCTGTCAACGATATTTGATATTATCGGTCCCGTTAGCGCCGCAATTTATTCGCGACGCATGAATCAGCGTTTACACAAAATACGCGTGTCATACCGTACATTTAGGGAAAGCCATGCGGGACGTTAAGGACGCGCGTCGTCGTGAACCAGTTTATTGACTATTATATCATCAGGACCGTAATTTAATGCCGCCTTGCGAGTCCGGCTCGCATAAGTGCGCGTACGTGAACACGCGTGAGTCCACTCACACGCGCCAACACACGTCCTATTCCCAGACGCTAGGCATAATTATTTACAAGAAGTCGCGTAGGACTCAAAGAGCGGCCTGACGAAGCCGTCGCCATTGACGAAGAGTTGCTCGTGTGTATATATTTCGAGGACGCGCGGTAAATTGTGGGCGATTATCGGGTACGATACCTCGCCAAGTAACAACAAACAAGAAACACATTATCATGAAATGTCGCGATTGTAAAATTTATTACTTGACACTTTTATGCGTGACACTGAATTTTACGACTGCAGTGATTGAAAGCTCGACAAGTTTCATTAATACAGCAATCTTTGTTCGCCGATATAATAGCTCAATTATGAGAATCTTGAGTATTGGTTTTAACGCGAGAAAATATTATTCTAATATTAATAGAAGATTATTATTTACCAAAGAGTGCTGTAAGGAAAATAAACAATGTTTTTCAATCTTAACAATCGTACTCCCAGGCGTAAATAACTTTACGCCTGTGCACGATTAGCTTGGAATTAATTACCGTTTCCGACACAATTGACAGAATTTTTTAATTTTTGAATAATGTATGCTAAATATCGGGCCTTGATATAACACAAATCAAAATAATAAGATGAGCTTGAGAGCCTAGTGCTAAGTTTTCGTGCTATCGAATCTTTATTTGCATTTTTCAACAATACCGAGGCGTTTATTACGTATATTACGTGCATTAATATATTTGTTTAAGCGGCATTAAAGTAATATTTTTCAATTCACGGTGAGTGAGCATTGTTTGGAAATCGTCGCTTCACAGGGGTGCCTTTTTCGCGAAAAAGAAGGTTCGGTCAGAGCGATCGTACACAAGGCGCGATTAGTATTACATCGAAGGTCTATAATAAAGATCGCAGCGGGATTCATTCTTCGTGATGCGGAGTTCAGTCGGAACGGCCTATTTGCAGTTCGTCATTGTGCACCATCCATGGAACCGTCGATACGGCCACCAGAAGAAAGAAGAGCGCCCTATTGACGAAGAATTCTTTCCAGCGAGCGAAGAGAGTGATGTAGCCCTCAAACACAGAGGATACATCGAGGAAAAAGACGGAGGAAGAAGTCGATCGTGCTACTGCGCTCGTAAATTTTTCTTCTCGACATTAGACACGCTGTACCCCGTGTTATCGTAGCTTCTCGGTTGTCTCGTAACATTGTCGTACACACCGGCGATACTTTTCTCCACGCGGTATTGGCGAAATGCACCAAAGTGCATTTCGTGAACGACTGCGATTTGAAGCGCTCCGTCGTAACGGACAGACAAAGCGGGCAAGAGTGACGTGTTGACATCTGCATTATGATGCGTCGCGGCTCGCATCAGAGTATCGCGCGAAGAGAACGGGCTCTTCTGGACAGTATTCACGGCGACGCGATGAAGTGCAAAGGGAAAGAAAGCAAATGAAGTGGATAAGAGGAAGGATACTTTTGAAAATCGCAGAGACGTGTGTTGCTATTCAGTCGTGAAGAATCGATAGAACGTTTGAGCGAAAACAAATTAGTGATGAACAATAGTGTACAATTTAAGATTAATACGTCTTCTTGCTGCGGTTTCTGTGAGCATCTTTAAAATTTGACAGGATACACTTCGAATTTTGTGCTTGAAAACATACGAAAGATGTGTACGATCGTATCTTATTTTTGAGTGTTTAATTTATCATATTAAACTTTTTTTTTAAATATAAAGAAATTATTTTTTTAAACATGAATCTGTGAAATTTATTATTAATGGAAAATAATTACGAATAAAAAATTTCTATCATACTGTCAACTGATGATTTGCATAAAATATAATTTATATACGTATAATTAAATAATAAGTAAAAATAATTAAAATATAAAGTTCTGAAGACAGTAACGGTATAAAATCGTACACTATTTACACGTATTATAATCTTGATTTCGATATTTAATGCATAATGCATTATTCACATAAACTGTACTTTAAGGAGAAATTAGAAAGATCTAATTTAGGTGAAAAGGAGTCTCACTCACCGGCGATGCTCAAGTAGAATCAGCAGTAGGGCGATAGTGGGACCGATCCTGATGGTGATCCTAGACAGCGGTCCTTCGTGTGCGCGTCCTGTACGAGACGGAGGCATTCTGTCATCGCCCCGAGAACGTTTCCTCTTTTTTTTTGCGCGGTTTGCTCCACTTTAAAGGAGTTGAGTGCGACCCTTCGTCCAGGGCTGCACACCCCTAGCACCCGAACGGAAGGACCCCTCGTGCGAGACGATGCTGAAGTTACTCTCGTTCTTTATCTCCGTCTCTTTCTCGCTCTCTCCGTTTGCCTTTCTCTTTCTCCGTATTCTCCTGTCCCTCTCCTACTCTTCTCGCCGCGGTGCCTGTGATCAGCAGCCTGGCACGCGTCGAGGACTCCACCTCGCCCCGGGCATCGGCGCTTCTCCTTTGACGTTCCGTACGATTCGAGAGCTCCCAGTTTCGCTGCTTCGAGGGGTCGTTCCGAAAACTACCCGGGGACAATAATATTCCGCGGCGATCGGGCGATTCATCGAGTGCGTTACGCGTCTCGATCCCGGCTCTCGTGGCAGCTTATTGCGTCGGCTCGCCCGGCTCGCCCGGCTCGTTCTCGACGCGGTAATCACCTTCCTTCTCGTGACTCGTTTGTCGAGTAATGACGCTCCGCTATCCTTTGACGAACCACTTACGCGTATGTTCCCATTAGAGGCCTCCGTTTGTCGACGAGAGAACGACGTTCGACGTGGGATCTTCGAGGCTACTTCGCTGAATCTTGTTAGATACACTTATCTTTGGAGGGTAGAATACTGTCGATGTATTCAAAACGAAATGTGGAGAGTTCTAGTGTTCTCCAAATTTCATCGTGATATACGACGAGCTCACTATCACTAACGTCACGGTCTTTATTCTCTTTGGCATTCTCTTCGGTGCTGTGTGCTATTCAATATAGTCCATTTTTCAATGTTCTGAATGCGACGATTCTTTCAACTGATTTGTACCGCGAAATCACGAATTACTACACCTTTTCCGACAAAAGTTGTTCCAAAACCTGGTGACATCCTGTCGTCCTTCATCCTCTGGATACATTGAATTTTCTCTTCTCTCGCTTTCCTCAGTAGCGGAATTGAGGTAAATTAGCCGATTTTTCGATGTGTCGGGTGAGAAGGAGAAAGGAGGGCTTGATGTCTCACATGCGGTATTTCCGGTGTGTGCGCTCGCGGCGAGGTGTCAAGCTCAAATAAAAGAAAAGTCGCCCTGCGGATCGTTCTACTCCTCCCACACGCGGACCATCACCATCTTCCCCCCTACCCCGGCTCTCGGTCACAGGTCTTCTTCCTCTTTCTCCGCAACCACCACTTCTTCCTTTTCCACCGTGGCTTCCTCTGCCGCTTGCCCTCGTAACCGCGCCTATCTCTCGCTTCGCTCGTGCAAACAGTCGAATAGCAAACTTCCCGCGATCGTCACGCACGGTGCGACGGTGACGACAGAGCCAGGCGAGGCTTTGAGGATTGCGGAAGAGGAAGGCGTGAAGGATCGGGCGGAGGGAAAAGAGGTCTGTAATCCGCTTTGAGGGACTTGAGGAGTGGAGATGTCAACGCGTTTGCGGGATGAAGAGATCCCCGCGCCGTAGTTGAGGAAAGGGTTACGATCAAAGATGGACCGATTTGCAGTATTTGTCGAGGAATCACAGACGAGACAGAGGCAACGGCAAGAAATTTCGCGAGCGTTAAGGAGCACAGTGGATACGGACGATCGTATGCAGGCGATCGAGTGCAGCCGGCCAGTCGAGAAACGTGAAAAGAAGGTCGCGCACTTTCGTTAGTTCTCTCCTCTCCTCCGTCCGCCGCCGCCGCCGACACCACCGATACCGGAGAGATAGATAGAATCTGGATGATTCCGCCTCCGTTCAAGACCGACGAGGAGCTGTCAGGGAGATCGCTCTGTCTATGATGAACTCGGTGCGCAGTGCGCGGCTACGGGGGCCCTCCTCGCCCTCCCATAGGGAAAGAAAGGAGAGATAGGGAGCAGTATAGGCACGAGGGAACCAACTACCCCCCCACCATAGCCACCACCATCCGGACGCGACCACCACCACCATCGGCCACCACCCCGAGATTCGGTGTGAGAGACAAAGAGAGAGGAACAAATGGGATCGCTTGGACAAGGACGACGAGATGTCGAGATATCGGGACGGAAAGGGAGACGTAGCGAAGGCAAAATGCGCGTGAGAAGAAGAGAGATGGAAAAATATACCACGAGTCCGCTATTGCATCTCTCTTTCTCCTCCCTTTTTTTTCTATGTTAGTTCTGTTTTTTTTCTCTCATTCTCGGTACGATTCCATCTCATTTTCGAAAGGTGTAACTTTCCTCAAGAATCTTTATCGACAATCTGTAATTTTGCACTTCACGATCTTGAATTTTTGCATTTTAGGGTGTTTATGCGTAATACGTAATATTTACTTTTTTCGTTCGATCTTCTATATGCTTATACATCGCTAATCACACACATGTTTTTATAAGATATTGAATTGAATGGAAGAACTTTTTATGCTCTGAATTATAAAAGAACACGTGTTTGTGCTAAACTTTCGAGTTACTTTCCGAATTCGACCAAGTTTTATTCAGAGAAAAACGCAGCTTATTCGTTTAATTATTTGTCAGCACATTACGAATCATTGAAGCGAGTTAATTCGAGCGCCTTGACGCGTACATTTCACTTTGTTATCGCATGAGCACAAGCCGACTACCTCCTTCGAAATGTCTCTGCGCATTTTCCGGCTCTCGAATCGCACCCTCCACTGGACCGAAAGAAAAGAAAGCGGGTAGGAAGGAAGGAAGGAAGGTTGTCCGAGATCACGTGACAGGAGGGAGGAGCGAAATTCCCCTACCTAGCATCACTTGGAGGAGTCAATCGGCATAATTGAGGCTTATCTTCGTCCCTTACACAAACTGCCGTCCGCCTACTCTCATCCCCTCTCTTCTTCACATCTTCCCTCGGAACCCAGTTTGTTCACGGAACGCAAAGGGTGCTATTCGTATCTTTTCAGCGATGATATTGATCTTTTGCTAACGAGATAACGAGGCGACTTCATCACTTCTTTGTAATTACGAAATATTTAAAAATCTTCCTTTTTGTACAACGAGTACCTAATGAATGTTGAGTCGAGTACGAAAGTATACAACTCGACAATTTTCACTTTTGCCACATTTCTTCTGCCTACTGTAGCTGAACGACGCGTTCGTTCCTTGAAATTCAGCTTCAATCGTTAAATAGCTATTTTGCAGATGCAGTTGGCATGATGTGCATTCGTACTTCTAAAGCTTACCTCTCTCTTTCTTTTACGAAACTCCTTTCCACCGTTTAACCAGGCATAAAAAAGGATGTGAACGCGGATAAATTCCTGAATCGAAATACTTGCGGCGTTGGCTATCTAGTGTACATCTCCTCGTTGGCTCGTTTCTCTCTACATCCAATTAGCAGCGCATCCGATATAATATCCGTCGTACGCGAAGATCTCGGCCGGTGCTGCGATCACGGGAACCGCAGCAGAGTGAGCAGAGCTCCCCTGCTCCCCCCCTCGCCTCCGGGTTTCGATCTCTCGTCGACTCGATGTGGAAGTGCAGATTTCATTGACGTGGTCGCTGAACTGGCAATTAGCCGCAACGACCCCGGGTCGTGCACCGCGCGTGTAGTCACCCCACCGCGCCACGTGGTCGAAGATCAAACGGCGTCCTGGCACAAAGCACTGCCGGAGAGCCGCAGGTCTTTCTCGATAATCGGCAGCGACGCCGATCTCGTGGGCCACAACGAAACCGTGGCGATTAGTTTGGTCACCCTCGCTCTCGCGACCTTTGGCTTATGCTTAATTAGGACCCACGTGCCGGCGAAAACAGGTGCGCAATTCGCCGGGCACAGTTGACGAAGTCGTTAATTTAATTGGACGAAAGCGCGAAAGTGAATCAGTTTTAACAAGGAGAAGCAGTCAATAAAGTTGAATGAATTTAAAGCTATATGGCAGTAATAATAATACGGACTCGTCATTATTACATTTTACTTTGTTTTTGCGCTGTAAAAAATTTGTCTCGGCAATTTGATTCAATTAACTTTGGGTTATTAATACAGATTCACTCTTATCTGTCCCAGTTGAAATGTAATTGCAACAAATTCACTTAATTAGGCTCAATCCTAATCTACTTTAAGCGGCTCTGCGTCTGTCGCGGTTCAACCGCGAATCGGCGCAACATTATTATCGCATGTTCTGAAACTAACGAGCGGCGGTGTGTGCGCGCGTATGCGCGTATGTGTATACCTTATGGCGCTTACCGTTATCTCGTATGCCACGGAATTATAGGCAGATCGAGCGGCGATTTATCACGGTAAACCACTTACCGTGGCGCATACGCCGCTGGACACGTGGTTCCTTTTGCCTCGCGCATCAGCCACGTTCCATTCGTTTCGTACGAGGGACACTCATTGCCGGTCCCGATATTTCGTACCGATAACATCGTTCGTGCTTCCAGAGGAACCCCTCGAAGCGCGCTTCTTCTACTTGATTCTCGTCTCCCCCTGTTTCTCTCTTTCTTTCTCGCTCCGTCCTTCTCTAAAGCGTGCATCTTCTGTCATCCTATCAAGGTGCATTACTTATCGGGCTATCGAGTGTCCTGACCGTGATCCTGGCACGCGAGCGACGATACGATCGAGCCACTCGATCATCCTATCGCCGCGCAATGCGCCGTCGCTCGGCAATCTAATTAGCCAGCTTGGGAAAAGGATACGAAATCCTTTCATGAAGAGCGAAGTGTGTGCGAGAGAAGGATGGAAGGAGAATAACAGAAAGAGAGAGGAGAGTGTCGTGCGCGTTACCGATTTCTGCGGCATGATTCTCGTAAGATTCTCTCGCGATCCGATGTTTCGGTCGAGCAAGAGATGTCGGTTAATTAAATGTTCTCGTAAATATTCGCATACTCGCGTCCGCGTGCGTTATTGCGACGCCGCATTAGCGAGAGGGTGATTTATACCACGGTAAAGGAGGGAGATTACTTTAGGGCTCGCGATTGCCGCATCATGGTCGTAATTTATTGCACGATTCAATGCTAATGGTCGTTTTCTCGAACGGTGCGCAATGAGAGAGGTATCCCGTCGCGGCCACTCTCCTATTTTAAACTTGTACGCACGCACGTTTTTCAGCATAAGCTATCTTAGAAAAAAGCAAATGTCTGAAATTGTAGCCTTAAACAGCGACATATGGTTTGCTAACAAGTGTACGATCTCTCTGTTACATCGATAGACATCTATCCACAGCGCTACAATTTATACGACAAAAAATTGAAACGTAGCGCAGAATTTTCTTGTTAAAGATCTTACGAAATTAGAAGCGTGTTACGAAATATACAGAAATGGGGAAATAAGTTATCGTAATTTATTTATCTTATTTATAGATTCTATTTTTTTTAACTAAATAATTTATTCACAGATTTCTGAAGCGGCATGTGAAATATTTAGTGTTGTTTTATGATTTTTATGATGACGAAACGTCAAATACTTGCGGGAATTATTCACGTTATTCGTTCGTAATGCAGGCAACAATGTATGCAACTTCTGTTGCATGAAACTGCGTACCTTATAGCATA